TCTTTACATTTCTTGTTGAAGGTGATCCAAGCTAATTTAAGAAAGCAATAGATTCTCCTGAATCTTCTTTCTGAAAAGAAGTCATTGATAATGAAATAAAATCTATAATGGAAAATCATACTTGGATACTCACTGACTTACCTTTAGGCTATAAACCTGTTGGTTACAAGTGGATATTTAAGAAGAAACTTAGAGCTGATGGTTTCATTGATAAATATAAAGCAAGATTAGTAGCTAAAGAATATACTCAGCAAAATTGCATTAATTACTTCGATACATATTCTCCTGACTCCTGTAGCTCGAATCTCAATTATTTGGGTATTATTAGCCTTTGCTACTATTCATAAGTTGATCATACATCAGATGGATGTCAAGACTGTTTTTCTGAATGGTGATTTAGATGAAGAAATCTATATGAACTAACCTAAAGGCTTTATTGCCAAAGGTTAGGAAAATAAAGTCTGCAAACTTATTAAATCTCTGTATGGTCTAAAATAAGCTCCTAAATAATAGCATCAGAAATTTGACAAAGTCATTGCTCAATATGGTTTTACTGTGAATGAACACGATAAGTGTGTCTACACTAAAGTGATAAACAATGACCATGTCATCCTCTGTTTCTATGTTGATGATATCATTATCTTTAGAACAACTCTTGAAGTAATCTTAAAGGTTAATGATTATCTCTCCAAGAATTTTGACATGAAAGACTTAGGTCTTGTTGATCTGATACTTGGAATGAAAATCACTAGAGACACTAGAGGAATATCATTGAGTCTCTCTCATAGTATTGAGGAAATGCTAACCAAATTCAATTTTCATAACTCTAAATCTGTCTCTACACCTTATGACTCTTCTATATTTTTGAAGAAGAATGAAGGTGAACCTGTCTCCCAGCTGAAGTATTCTTAGCTGATTGGATCTCTCTTGTGCATATCCAACTGGACTAGACATGATATAGCTTATGTTATAGGGAGACTGAGCCGATATACCAGCAACCCTAATAAAGATTATTGGATTGCCTTAGAGAGAGTATTTAAATACTTGAAAGACACAGTTGACTATTGCTTGACTTACACTGGGTATCCTGATGCGATAGAAGGGTATAATGACGCCAATTGGATCACGAATTCCAACAGTGTAAAGTCTACATCAGAATATGTATTTCTTTTTGGTGGTGCAGCTATACCCTAGAAATCCTGTAAGCAAACAATAATTGCCAGGAGCACTATGGAATATGAATTGCTTGTACTTGATACCACTTGCATAGAAGCAGAATGGTTAAAAGATCTACTCTCTGAACTACCTTTGGTCCCAAAACCCTCTCCTCCAATGTCTATTCACTCTGATTATAGATCCACCATAGAGCTTCTAAACCAAGTGCATGTTAATAAAAAACTTAACAAACATATTCAAATAAGATATAAATCTGTACAACGCTTGCTAGGCAAAGTTGTGATTCTAGACTTTGTAAAGTTTGAAAAGAATCTTACTGACCTATTGACTAAGGGTCTATCCAGGAGTGTGGTTCTGAATTTATCGAGGGAGATGGAGTTAAGCCCATAGATGATGTTACTGACAGCAGGAACCCAACCTTTATTTGGAGACGCAGTCCCAGTGTAGGTTCAATGTGGTAGAAACAAGCTAGACTAGTGACACTCGTGTGGAGCATCGACCTAAATATATTCATATATTATTATGGTAGCATCTGCTACTACCCTTCTCTATGATGACAATGCTCTTATAATACAGCTGGTTAGGTTGAGTTTTACTCTTAATAAGTTCAACACATGTATTGCGGTGGGTATGATATCTAGCTGTGGTATCCTTGAAGGAGTTACCTACATGAAAGGAAACGTGATGACCGCGGTTAGGGAGGGAGGCAGGATAACCTCTAGAAACTCTCATGAGTCGGTTATTGTGAGCATAGTCTTTTACGCTCAACCCGTTTTACTCAATAGATGAAGACGTATTGTGTGTGATTTCATCAATACTTGGTACAATAGGTCTAATTCAAGGCCTAGTCCATTATGTCCCTCAGGTTGCGATGAACCCACTAAGGAAAGGTTCAAAGCCGAAAGCTACCTCTCCTGAATTCATGATACGAAAAGTTACCCAACCTATATTTGGTTTGTGATTTATTGATTTATTTTTGAGTTTTTTAGTCAAACTTTGCCTTTTGTGGGGGATTGTTGGCTGTGTTGTGAGAAAAAGGCAATTTGCCTTCAAACAATAGTTCCACATTGCCTAGTATAATGAATGGGTAGGTGTTTAAATTGGTTCTCTTCTCTTTACCCCTTGAGGGTCCCCAACTGTTGACTGTTTTGGGCATTCAGTTTGTTTAGGCTCTGGATAGCACACGCGCGCTCGCCTCGACTTTCCTCGCCGCGCATGCGCACGCACGCCTCGCCACGCCACGCGTTTTATTTTTTCTTTTTAACTCGGAAATCATGCAACGTGTGGGAAGGTCAAATGGCTGCGTGAGTTTTGGAGAACGTACGGGAAGTTCAATGACTGAGTGAGTTTTGGAGAACGTGCGGGAGGATTAAGCGGGGAGTTTCAAAGGCACATGGTTTCTAAAACCCTATAAATACAGTCCTAACTCAGTTTGTAAAAGAGCAGCGAAAAAGAAAAGTTTTTGTCTTAAAAAACCGAGAGAAATCTCTTCTGCCTTCTCTAAAATCTGTCTACTCTTCTCCCTCTCTAAAATTTGTTGTTATTCATTTTTCTTTTGGGCAATCGTCTTCATCTGAGAAAAACCTCTATACTCTCGCCCGAGTACAGAGGTCGGCTGCTTCCGGGGGCTTTTACCGCTAGGGAGAGAGGATCTACTGCGCTAGGACGATAGGCGGGTCCTCAATATTCTAGGACAGTGCTCTGCACGACTGCTACTCGTATCAGACCAATTTTTTCTGTTTAATCTATTTTTCGGATTTATATGCATGCTAATAAGTTAAAATTTGATAGCAATTTCGTCACTATCTCAAATTTAAAGTTATGATGTTATAGGGAATACCAGCTTTATACAATGCTTAGGGTAAATTTCACAAAAAACCATCTTAAGTTCGGCCGGGTTTCAGATGAACCCATAAACTTTTAAAACTGTCACTTAACTCCCCTTAAGTTTGGGTTGTTTCAGAAACTTCCAAAATGATTTCAATTTCCTCAACTAACCCCTCTAATGGTGTTAGATGAACTAGTAAATAGACCGAAAAAACCCTTTCCATATCAACACTCTAATTGTTAAATTAAATTAATCATTAAATAAGTTAATTAAATCCCTTATAGAATTACCTTATAATTATTAAAAATGACATCAATAGATTTTTTTTCATTAGCGTCATTTTGGTCATTTCAACATAACTGCTTTTCACGTGCACAATTAGATCTAAAGGTGTTGGTTGGGTATGAGGGTTACCTTGCAAAACTTAAGGGGTTAAGTGATATTTCTAAATTTTAGGGGGTTATCTCAAAAACAATCAAACTTGAGAGGGTTTTGTGAAATTTTAAATGTCCTTCCCTTACATTGAAACTCTGAAATTATGGTAAGGACTGAGGTTTATAATTTTATACTCTTTAACATATCCCTTCAGGCATCATTTTCGTGAGTACTACCCCGGACTCAAGCATCCATCTTTTGTAATCTACTTTATTCGTGGTTGGTGGGATTTGAACCTGTGTTGTCCAGATATTACTTTAAAATTTCCTTCTATCACACCAAAACTCCACAAATCTGTTGGGGGCTGTGGGTCATAAGCTTATATTTGAACGTGATAAAACTATAGTCCTCAACCCTCACCACAACTTCAGGGTTTTGGTCTAATGGAAGAGACCTTTTAATACATAGCGTGCTTTGAAATGGATGGGCCTGTACTGATAATATTGTTTAGCTCTTCTACATTATGAGATAGGTAGTTGAGACTGCTGAAATTCTGCTAGCTTAATACAAGGTTTGATATTCAATGGTAGGTTATGAAGGTCTCTTGCGTAGTTGAAGGAGTTCTGTTTGAGCTAGAGAGGCCATATTATAGTAACTACGACAGCATCCAAGACCAACTGTTGAGCTTTTGTTGCAGAATACAGGAACTTACCCCAAAATCCACTATGGAGTCTTGAAGTGGAGGTGCTTGATAGAAAGCCATATCTAAATATTATGTTTGGGATATGCTTGGGTAGAACAAATGACGGCAAGTTGTGAGCTTGTAGTCAATATTAGATGCAAAGTCTATAATTGGTAAATTGGTAATTGGTAGACGCAACCTTCATGATCTGTTCAATTTCTTGATCGATTTGACTTGAAATTCTAGAAATTCATTCTTATCTTGATTTATGATATGCACTTGTGGTAGCTTATGGCACTGGAATCTAGTTTACGTGGTTGTTAGTGATGAATTATGTTACCAATACCCAAGCAAGCTGATTCGGGAAATTTATGAACTACTCTGGGAGATCAGTCTGTAATTATACTTAGTAGGTTGAGGGTGACTTTGATCAGTTTGAAATAAAGCAACTGGAAATATTAGTTTTGAATCATTCTGAAGAGTTAATAGTGTGTAACTTGGTATCTTGAAGATCATCAGCAACATGATATAGTTTATCTCAACAAAATCTGAGTGATTCAATTATCAGTTGATGAAAATACTCCCTACTATGTGCATAGGTATTCACTGGTTGCCCGCAAGGGGTCCTAATTAGTCAGCTCTTGCTTTAACACACTAATGCTGGTGAATACCACTATCTTTTTCGCATTCAATAAAAAAGGAAGATGTCATATGTTCTGATATGCATGGATGACATCGTTTTGCTGACTTTTCTAAGTTGGTTGCATTTCTTCGTTAGCTGAAGGAAATATGTTCCTTTTTTATCCTCAGTAAGAATCTGGGGGTTCATTTTCCTTGTTTGTATAGGTACTTCAATAAGTATGCAACAACACCGAAAATATATGCTTACTTATGGTTTCATTTGTTCATACTGAATACTAAACTATTAAATTTAACCAGGAATGCAAAAATGTTCAAACTTAACAGAAGCTGAGGTAGATAATCATCAGGGCAAAGAAAAGGAAACTTCCCAAAACACAAGTACATCTGCATCTCTACATTCAAATGAACCAGTACAATTAATGACACATGGTAATCCTGTCGCACCATCAACTAGTGCGTGTTTGAGTTTAAGCCTAGCTGGTAGCCTTCAGTCTTCTGCCAACCCGATAAAAGCTGATAAACCTGATTCCCAGAAGATGATCTTCACAAATCTCAACTTGGACCTCAATGAAAAACCCTTTCAGCATGATAAGAAGTTGGAACAGTTTAGACCTACAGATGCATCAGAGTGCAGTAGCACCAATGGTCCCTCGCACGAGAGTAATCCGTTAAAATTGTGGAGGGAGATGAAGCAGAACGGTTTCCTCTCATCCTCTCATGGAGGCATACCTGTTCCGAAGCGAAGGGGGCGTCCACCTAAAAGGAAAAAAGATGACGGGCTCCTGAAAAAGAGTGATATAACAAAACGAGAATATCCATACAAGTACTCTAAGGATTCTGCTCCTACTGGGCTGCTCTCTGGACTGGATCCCAGGATCATTAGACATGTGAGAAATAAGAAGCAGGTCAATTCTATACTAAAGGCCGTAGTGGAATCTGAAAGAAGTGATGCCCAAATGCAGAATATGAATGCAAACCAAATTGGAAGTGAAAGTGAGGATGTTATATCCCATAGTTCAGCTGGAGATCAGTCCAGTTTATATTACAGGCCTTTGTTCTCTGGTTCAGATCATGAAAGTTCTACCTTACCACGATTGATCCTGGAAGATGATGATGACTCTCTTAATTTGAAATTGTCATCTGCTGTTTCTATTGGGTCAGAGAATGCTAGCAATACGTCCAATGATGAATTCTCTGCAGACTACGATACCATTGCTTCTCTATCGATGAAAGGTTGTTCTCTTCGACAGATTTAACTGCAAATATTCACAAACCTTGGAGAATAGCTAATAGGAAATTCTTCTCCTTCAATTGTAGGTGCTTCCGTAGCTTCTCAATGGTTGGACCTCCTACAACAGGACATCAAAGGACGGCTTGCTGGTAAAGTTCTATTTTATTAAAGCTCTATAGTTTATTGATAAGTGTGTATTTGTTGTGTAAACTAATTCTGTTTGATTATTGATGCAGCACTACAGCGTAGTAAGAAAAGGTTGAGGAACGTTTTTCAAACTGAACTGCCTTACCTATTATCAGTGGAGTTATCTGATCGAGAAAAAGATGGATATTTTGAACATTCATCTGAGAGTGCGTGTTCAATGAAGGCAAGTTTGGATGTGCACATGGAGAAATGGAAATCTATTTTCAGTCAAATGGACAAAGCACTGTATGAGGAGGGCAACCACCTTGTGAGTATTGCCTTTCGATTCTAACTGCATCAACTCAAATTATTATTCTTATAAGAAAATCTATATGGTTAACATCTGAATTAGTTTTAGAATTTATCCTGGCTTAGCTAATGGAGAGTTAGATATGGAAAGTATGGTGTCTTAGTGACCAGTGACCACTATTTTCCCCGTTGTTCCAATTTACTCAATGAATCCTTACTATTAGAAATCCTAGAGGTTTATAGACAGATGTCATTTCTTCATTGTTATTGTCAAAGTCCTGCCACCAAAACCCCGAAGGCGTGGAGAGGGTTGAGGGTTATAATTTTTACACTCCTAATTGACATGCCCTCGGAGGCTGGGGACCCTTTCATGTGCCAAAAACGACTGGACACAAAAAGCTTTTTTTATTTTTTTTTAATCCGATTTAGAAATTTGTGACCACTAAACCAAAACTCCTTAGTTGCAATAAGGGTTGAGGTTATAATTTTGTACTTCAACAGATATATTTGATCTGTATAAAACATTACATTATATGTAATTTCTTGGCTTTAGAATTCATTTTCACCTTCTTAAAGAAGGAAGCCGTTGGAGACGAATGAACATTGATGATCCGTTTTCCTGATTAGGAGAACTGGCTGAAGCAAGTCCAAGTCATGCAATCACACTGTGAAGGAGGACTGAAGTATTTCGGTACAAGTCTCACTATGTCACTAGCAGAGGAATTCAGGTCAGTAGTTTTTTTTGTATATTAAGCTGCAATTTAGCATCTTCATAATTAAGTTTATGTACCTACGGGCATTGAAAAAAAAAAATCTGTCTGTAAATACTCTAACCAAAAAGTTATCAAAATTTTCAGCGGGCTAAAGAAAGCAGAGGCTATAGAGCGGGAAAACGCGGTGAGGGCAGCTGCGGCTTCCATCTACTCCACAAGCAACTTGATCATGTCTGAAGAAAATGTTTCTGGCTTCTAAATTCATTTAAGCCTTCACACTTTTATACCTTCTAATTATGGCAGCGCCATTGTTTCGCTATGTTTACAGTGTCTGTATTGTTTTACACCACATTTTCCCTCTTTCTTTTGATCGCCTTGTAAATTTTCATCATTCACGTGTAAACTATTATTAATTTTGTCTCTTTTCATAATGTTGTGGGATTGCAAATTGCAAACGGGTTTTCTACCTATAAACCCAAAACATTACCCCTATTTATTTTTAGACTCGTTCACTTCTAAAATTATTCTTAGGCACTAAATACTCCGCCGAATTAACTTTAAATCCACTTTGAATTTGCAGTTTGACACATGATGTAAGTAGCTACAAAAAATTTTTGTTGTAACTTGCTATATATATATATATATTTCCTTACTAAAACACTAAATACAATGATTGAGTATTTTTAATTTATTTCCTTACTAAAAAAAATTTCCTCAATTTCACTTCGATGATTTTTACTCAGTTATGTCTCTAAACTTTAGCATTGTGATTATTTATTTTGCTTTGATGTTTGTTTAAAGGAGGTACATCAAATTTAAATTTTTATATTTATAATTGAATTGATGGGAAACAAATATAATCCGAAGTCAATTTGAATTATCATGTTATTTGAACCGATATGAAACCAAGCTTGACCTGAAAAAGTATAGTATAAAAGTGAAAACATTTGAAAAAATAGCGTTATAAAAGGAAAATGAATAATTAAAGCTAATAAGACACGATAATTGGTTAAAACTTGGGCTAAAACGATACAAAAGAGAATATGGAGTTTGTTTCTAATCCTTGATAGACTTTAAAAAAATTATACGATGAAAGTATTCACATAAGAATACAAAAGTACTAAATAAAAGTTCATGAAATCTCTTCTAAAGATTTTTAATTTACTCAAAAAATAATAAACTATTCTATAAAATATTTTAAAAAGTTCTTTCATTCCTTCTGTTTTATTTTATTATTGAGCCCGCATCAATCCTTCTGTACATTTATCTTTTTGATAAAATTAGACTACTTTTAAATACTAAAAAAGGATAGTAAACTTTAAATTGGAAGCTAAACTTATATATCTTAATGAAAGAATATCAAACAACTATTCTTTCCTTCGCAAACTTTTTAAATTTTAGTCTTTTTTTGTGGCTTTGAATTTTTAAGAGTGTTTTTGCAAATTTTGAAACCTTAATACTGTTTTTTTTATTTTAAATTTTGAGTTGGGTACTTGTAATTTTCATGTTTTATGTGTTGGTGGTAAGTTTTCAAATATTAGTAATTTTTAGTGGTCTGCTGATAATTTTTAAATTAAATATGTACCGGCTATACTTTTAAAAATTTAAGATTTTTTGTGATTTTTAACTTTTAAAAAGTTTTTTTTACAACTTTTATAACTTTGAGGTTGCTTTTTCCATATTTTAAATTTTCAGGTGTCAGATGGTGTTCTGTTGAATCAGGGGCGGATCCAGGATTTTAGTTCTGGGGGGGCCGCGTATAAAAGATAGATAAAAAAAATTTCTTAATGTAATTTTATTCACAAGAGATATACCACAACCCAAATAAAACGAGTAGAATAGCCAACATCAATATCTCCAAAATATTTCAAAAGAGGAAGACAAATATTATATAGAAAATGGTCAAATAAGCATCATCTATTTTTTTTATAACTAAAATTTCTCTAACTAAAAGGAATTCGACGTTCCTTAAAATTTTTAAAGTCTTCAATGATATCATCAATGCTCATACTTTTAGCAATTTCTCTTTTAATAAACACCATTAATACGTCGGAGAAGAAAGCATCCTCCATTTTGCTTCGAAGCCTAGTTTTGACGATATTTATAGCTGAGAATGATCGTTCTGCAGTAGCAGTAGAAACTGGAAGAGTAAGCACAAGTACGATCACTCTAAAAATGAGGTCGTATGTAGCAGATTTATTAGTCTTTACCAACCATTGACACAACTCAGAAATGGTTGAAAGAGTTTTGAAGTCTGACCCTTTGACTACATTATGCTCATAATGTTTCAGTTGCATCTTCAAACTCTCTTTTTCTTCACTTGTAAAATCTTGTGCATAAAACTTGACAATAATGCTCTTTTCTTGAATGAATCATTAGTGTCCACAAACCACTACACAATAGACATTTGCTCTTTTTTTTGACTCATCACGGGCTTCATCAACAATAATGTAATACTTGGCAACTCCAATTTCTTCATGAATTGCATTTTTCAATCTCACTGAAAACACATGAAGTATTTGTTTTTGAATATCATGACTTGTATATTTGGCATTTTTGGGAGCTTTCGCAATTGCCTTTGAAAATTCGTCATTCTCCATGGCCAGCACATCCAAAAATTCAAGAAAATTATCACGATTGGACGAACTAGATTTCTCATCGTGGCCTCTAAACGGAATCCCTTGGAGTGCAAGCAATCGCACCACAAGTATGTGAGCTCTTAACCGAAGACGATTTGTTGCAACTTGTTCAGCATTGAAGTTGTCGAATCGCCTTGATATATGTTGCGGTTGGTTCATCAAATCCTCACATGCCTTTTCAGCATTACGATGGAGTGAAGATACATTATCTTTTCCTATTTCAATGAAACCCCCTTTATTAATCCCTTAAGAATAACCCCCTTTATTAATAAACCCCCTTAAGAATAACCATTCGGGGGGGGGGCGTGGCCCCCCCTGGACTGTATGTAGATCCTCCCCTGTGTTGAATTCATCTTTCTTGTTTGTATGTTTTGAAATTGTAGAATTTCAGGGTGCTTTTTATTATTTGAACTTTTGAGGGTGTTTCTAAAAATTTTAAAATGTTAAGGTTGTTAATTGTAAATTTTAAATTCTTTAGAGACTACTGTTAATTTTTATATTTCATGTTTGTTGTTTAAAGTTTTGAAACAATGTTTTGCGTAATTTTAAACTTTTTGAGGGTGTTTTATGTAATTTTTAAAATTTTTGTGTTTTTTTAAATACTTCATATATTATAGCATAAAATAACACTACATGCATACTCTCCACCACACTCTTCACCACACCCCCTCTCCTGCTACAGTGAGGGTTAAAAAATCTCAGGTGGGCCCCCTGCACTGTAGCAGGAGAGGGGGTGTGGTGGAGAGTGTGGTGGAGAGTGTGCCTGTAGTGCCACTCTATAGCATATTAGTATTTACCTTAACAGACTAATATCGTGTAGCTGTTTCATGTATTTTATTGATCTTATTTTTTTTTAAATTGTTGAGCTATAGATAGTTCACATGGAATTAGGATATGATATAACTATAATTAGAATATATTAAGATTTAAATAAAATATTCAAACTAGTAAAGCGTAATATTAACCACAAAAAGATTTTTCGAACACATACTTTTAAAGAGAGTATACACATACAAATATAAGTGGTGAGAAGTACAGTGTGATTTTTAACTAAATCCTTAAATTGTTATTTTTTGGCTTTTCCTCAATGTCACAGCAACGCACGATTCAATTTTGCTTATTTCAGTTAAAAAATTTTAAGTGTAAGGATATTTCTATATTTTTTCAGGTATAAAAATTATTTTTGAAATTATGTAAGCCACAAATCCAAAAAAAAGAGCTTTTAGTGTTGGTTGCTAGGCAACGAATATGAATCTCCTCAGAATCGCTTGCATGCAAATGGATAGTTCTGAGTCTAAGTTCTGAGTCACACATAGAAGGGGAAATTATAAGTGTGCTTTTTTATTTATTTTTTTCCTTGTGCCGCTCAGAATCATACGCTCACATGCGCGCAGTTTGGATCCGAACTCCAGTTTGTTGAATCAAACTTTTTTGCATATTTACCCTTTAAATCCCTTTCAAACTGCCTATTAGCTAATTTATCCCTGTGAATTTTGACATTGTTCAATAAGAAGGTAAAACGGGAACAAAATAGCAAATATGCAGATTTGAGAGTACAACTATAAATAGTAATTTCAGGAGGCGTATAAGGGAGAAAAAACCGTTAGTTTTCACGGGGTTAAGTTCACAAAACCTCCCTGAATTTTGGGGTTGTTGCACATAACCCTCTTGAACTTTACTTATCTCACGTAACCCCTAAACTATGGGATGTCTCACAAAACCCCCTAAATTTTATGCTATCTCACACAACCCCCTAACCATGTTTATCTTGCTAAACCCTTCCGAACTATGGGGTGTCTCATAAAACTCCCCTAAACTTTACCTTATAGCCCCTGTTTGTAATTTGTAAATAATTAAAACTTTCTTGAGAGAAAAAATTAAAAATTTGAGAAGCTAGTATCTGTCGTGTAAACAACAAGTGACAAAGTTTAATATTTTTTTTCTCTCAAAAAGATTTTACTTGCTTGCAAAACAAGTCCAGGGGGGGTTGTGTAAGAGCATCTCCAACAGCTTCCCCATCTTCTTGAAATACTCAATTTTGGGGAATATAGAGGTTTTTTCCCATCTTCTTGAAATACTCAATTTTGGGGAATATAGAGGTTTTTTTTGGTCCAACAGATTCCCCATCCCATTCCCCAAAATAGGGAAGGAGGAGAAAATTTTTTTTGGTCCAACAGATTCCCCATCCCATTCCCCAAAATAGGGAAGGAGGAGAAAAAATAGGGAGCTTTCCCCAAATCTGCAGCATTCTCTAAATTTTTGGAGAGAGCTTTATTATTGTAATAAATGCGATTTTTCAAAATGGGGAAGCTGTTGGAGTTGGAGCAAAAATAATTTGAAGAATATGACTTTTGTTTCTCCATTTTGGAGAAAATTCTGGGGAAGCTGTTGGTTAACCCGTATTTTCTGCCCGCATCAACATTCGAGACCACAGAACTATTGACTCCAACCTCAAAAAGGAGTCTAACGAGACCATGGATCCGGTTCTCCGCCGCCGCGGTGTCCTGATCCTCCTCCTCCTGTTCCAGATCGCGTTTCTTCAAGCGGCAGCCGAGGTCGTCACCCTAACAACCGAGACCTTCAGTGACAAGGTAAACCTCCACCCCCTTACACAAAATCTAGGGCTGACGTCATTTGCTCTCAGGCAACAGATCAAAGCGAGGGACAAAAAAGTGATTTATTTGGTTTAATTTGGTATTTTTCGTTCGTATTTTTATGTAATTTTGTGCGATTACGAAAGTTTTGAGGTGATAAAATGTGTCGATTACATTGCTGAAACTGGGGTTTTGGTGGCTGTGGGTTATTTGACATGAGAGTGAATATATGCTTATTAAGCTTGCTATGTATATTCTTTGAATCTCCTCTTTATTGTTGCTTTTTTTTAGACAATTTATTGTAGATTTAATATGTTTTTGGTTCTTACATACTTGTGAGTTTCTAATTTGTTTGCGGAATCCTCCATGTTAATGCTTTGGTCGAGTTTCATGTTCAAATTTACCAATTTTACGGCTGTATCTTTCGAGGGCGGAAAGTCAGAACAACGCCGCGTGTTTTGGTTGTTTATGGTTTCTTATTGTGACTGCATTCTTTCAAGTGACATGTTTTTTTGTGAACTCATTGGACAAATGCGTTTCATTTCTTGATGTGTTTATGCTCTACTATTTCGTTTGGAACTCATTTTTGACCCATCCCACCCATAAATATGATTGTGTCGAATACGTCTCTCACAAGCAGTGTGGTGGTTGTTAGCACGATGTCTCTTGGTTTTTGTCGAGGTTCGTCCATCGCTTACGAATACCAGTGGTAAATGGTATCCAGGAAGAGTAGAGAGACACAAAGGATTAATGCAGAGATGGGAGTTTCGGATGCCAATGGATGAAGAATAGATTCCTTTTTATGGTTGCATTTTTGTAATTGTAGGAGGGAGAGCTAATTAGTGAATAGTGAAGACCATGCTGGATGAAGAACTTAGAAGAGATATGCCATTGCAATAGGAGGAACAACTTTTTGTATGAGAGAGGAATGTTGATGACCAGTGGCTGGAGGGACAAAGACAAGTGACGAACAAATGCTGAGTGCAAGAAGACAAGTGAGATAGGGAGCTGGAGATGCTAGCCAGATCTCTACCCTTTTTTTGCTTCGTAAAAAAGTAAATTTAATAATAATTTATTAGTTAGGAAGAAGAAGTATACAAGGGTGTATAAGGAATTAAATGAAGTTATGAATCAAGTTAATTGTTCACTTTCATTCATAAAAGTTAACATCAATAATGAGCTACGAGAATTGGGCGCTAATATCCAAGTTAAAAGGTGATAAATTGTTGCCGCTCAATCAGTGTTGTAAATAGCGGCCAATAGCGGGGCTATAGCGGCGCGAATAGCGGTCGCGGCCCTTCAGCGCTACGTGTAGGGGTTTCGCGGCTGGCTTAAGCGGGAAAATCCGCTATTCATTCGAATAGCGCGTAAAAGCGGATTTTAGCGGGTTAAAAGCGGGTTTTCACGGTTAAAAGCGGATTTTCGCGGTTAAAAGCGGATTTTCGCGGTTAAAAGCGGCTAAACCCGCTATCACACATATTATGATGCTATATTTTTTGAATTTCTTCATAGTTTCATTCATACAACAAGCCTACTAATTGTTATTTACTGATAATATAAGAAATTTACAACTAATTGAATTTTTAGATTTTTTATGAATTTTCTTATTATTTAGGATATTTAAATATATTTAAATTTAACCGCTATTTGACTGTGCGCTATTTGCCGCGATTTCGCCACAATAGCCCGATATAGCCTTAGCAGTACCTCGCCGCGACGCGTTGCGATCCGCTATCAGCAACCTTGCGCTCAATAATATAGGAGGTCTATCTGCAAATAACACATTATTTATGCATATCCTTATGTTTTTAATTGAAATTGAAAGATTCTTTCTTATTTAATATGATGTAAACTAATAAAGAATTCATAGAGGATGATCTATAATCCTCCCTCCCTCAGTTGATTAAAATTCAATTTCTTGATTATCTTGCTTGTTTCACGTTTTTCTTCGCCCTAGGCCCCTAACAGTGGAATGTTATGATTATCCCTTGGTATCTTGAGTTGTAGGTTATAAATATTAATGTGAGCTGGGATAGTGTATGTGTTGTAGGCTTAGGCCAGCAGACTCATGTTTATCTTCCTTGACCATCCATTAACCATAATACTACTGATAAACTATATCCAGTTTGAATCATTTTTTCATGAATTCTATTTCACCTCACCATTTTATCAAGGACATCTTATTTATTGAGCTGGGATAATGTATATTGTAGGCTTAGGGCAGCAGACTCGAGTTTATCTTCCGGTTCTCTTCCTTAGCCACTTCTTAACCATAATGCTACCGATGAACTATATCCAATATGAATTGTTTTTCTGAATTCTATTTCACCTTACCATTTTATCAAGGTCGTCAATATTTGACATTTTGCACAATTAACGAAGGTTACCTGCTAGACAAGCCATTGCCCAAGTACTGAATGATATACAATACATACATAAGTGCATGTGTGTGCGTGCACATAATAAAGGGCATGATGTAGTAACTCCTATCCAATATGTGGAAATAATCGCTGAATGATACACATATATACATACATAATTGATGGAAATTATGCGTGAATCTAAGGTAGTTTGGTTTTGCTTGTGTACAGGTAAAGGAGCAGGATACTGTATGGTTTGTGCAATTTTGTGTTCCCTGGTGTAAACACTGGTAAATGCTTGTGAACTTTATCCTTCAAAAGTCTTATGATCTTTCGGTGTTTTCAATATTCACTGTTTTGCAAATAAACAAATGAGCCCATTGCAGTTTTCTTTGGGATAAAAATTCTTTGTTCATTTTTTATTTTATTCATATCCTTAACCATATCTTGACAAATAAAGACTTGTTTGCAGTAAGAATTTAGGAACACTCTGGGAGGACTTAGGCAAGGCTGTGGAAGGGGAAGATGAAATCGAAATTGGACAAGTTGACTGCAGTTTAAACAAACCAATATGCTCCAAAGTCGATATTCATTCTTATCCTACATTTAAGATTTTCTATGATGGAGAAGAATTTGCCAAATATAAAGGTAATCTATGCATGATGCCGTAGTTCAACTTAATAGTTTATGTGCTTCTCACTACTTTACCTTGCTCTATACCAGTTCCTTGTGATTATTTTATCACGATTCTTCATGCTGCAACTTACATGCTTGACATGTTTGAAGTACGAGACACCAAACTTTTTTTTTTCAGTATTACTAAACCAACCAATCCTCTCCTTTGGCTACATGGTTGGCCCTATTGTGAGTAGCTGATAACCACTAAATTGTGGATTATTGAATCACAGACAAGCAGATTTAAGAAATCCTTATTACACAAATATGACAAAGGAAATAGAATTTCTTTTAGTGTTCAAAAAGCTTATAGCTTTAAGGAGATTGTCGAATTAACAAATAGATAGTATTCAAATTTAGATTATCTTAATATCTAGAACTTCATGATAACATTCTGGGAAGTTATGTGTGCTTGAGGATAATTTAATACAGGCATGACAACATTGTAACATCATATTACTGGGGGATTGAAATTTTCAAATGCTTTGAACTTTGAAGAATTTCTTTATGCAAATTAACTGAAAAGATGATTGGGAATTCGGTCATCTCGACTCTTTTAGCCTTCAGGGAAGAATTTGCTTGACTTGCGCTATAACTAAATAAATTCAGATGTAATTATGTGAATTTATTTTCTCAGTCGTTATTGCACTTCATTTGAATCTAGTTTGGGAAGTGCAGGGTAACACTGAATTGAAATTTGAGCTTCAATCTAGCAAAATTCATTAAATTGTTTGCACGACCCTTTTTTATTTTTATTTTTATTTTATTTTCCTTTTTGGCTGTTTAAATTAGACATCTACATTTTTTATTTGTGCTATAAGCCATCATCTCCAATGAAGTAACATCATACACGATAACTAACGGTGAAAGCCCCTTGACTATCATCTTCTTCATTGTACTGAACAGTTAAGTTGCTTAGGAATGTTTTAAACACTCAAAGTTGTGGCAAAATCTGCTTG